GTCGTTTTGATGCTCATTCTGTTTCTGTAAAATTCGGTCCTTCAACGCCGCAACAGTTATCTAACCAGCAGGGCAACAACATCGACGAGATCCCTTACGTGCAAGAAATGTAGGACTATGAAAAATCAGTGTTGGAGGAATATATTTTCGCTTCTCTCAGCTGGGCTCGGGAGTTTCCCCAGTAATTGTAAAAGTTCACATACGAATTCGGGTAGGAGTGCATGTGAACCAATGAATTTCATGTGTTGCATGTGAACCAGAATTTCCAAATTGTCACCATGCACATATTCCCCCACACTCGTGAGTACAATTCTATCATATAACACTCATATTAATATCTAGCGATACCACCAAGCGATACCAATCACATCTCCCTGCACAAAGTATTCAAAATGCTACTATATTGGAGTTTCACCCGTGGTATAAATAACACTAGTGAGGAACATATTTCGCGACTACTGCATAACGCGAATATCGGGGTTTCCATATAGTATTGCGCCACTTCACGTGAAACGGGTCGGGTAAGTTCCACAATTATGCTACTATAGATTATCTTACTCTCAATATTGTCGAACCACACCTCCTAATCACGATATACCGAAAAAACAATACCTAGGTATGCTACGGCATGCTCAGCTTCCAAGGTCACCACGCATACCGTAAGCTTAGCTAGCTACATGATTCACCCCCTTCCTCCTCCCACCTCCGAGAAATCCTCAGTTTTTTCACCAGTCCTCATACAGAAACGATTCACTTCTTCCTCGGTAAAGCAATACTTCCCCGAGACGCTCGAAACCATCACTTTAGCATCCGGGGATATCTACCATGAAAATATTCGGATAAATCGCATTTCCTCTTATGCGCCTTTTCCCTGTCCTTTTCTCTCAGTAAACAGCAAATTCGCAAGATCCCACTAAATGTTTTAAAATGATTTAGCCTGCGTTTATCTGATATCCATATGCTCTATACACAGAGGTTGGAGCAACTAGTTGCCTCCAAGATGAATATACTAACAGTAACGGTTCAAATAATGACGCGAGATATACACTTTTGATTATCACCGCTATAGACACATACGCATACTCGGTACACACCGAGAGCCGACCCTTTCTTCGATCGCCCTGTAGTCACTGAACTGAGAGTAGCTTGAGGAAAAGAAATTCTTCCAAAAAAAGCCCCCCCCCAAGTAATACCATATAAAACTATGATGAACTCCCCTGCAACAGTTCTAAACCTCAGTTCCAATACACTAACGTTGAACCTATCGTCAAGCAAACGTTTACAGCTGAGTTCAGGAGGGTTTCCTCATTAATCATAGAAGTTACCATACGAATCCTGGTAGATGTGTACCAAAACCAAGGAAATTTTCGGAAATTTCTTCCGAATTTTCATGAACATATTTTCCCACGTTGTCTCGTTTACTGCACATTATACGAACTAATATGA